AAAAAAACAGGATTTGACCATCATGTTTACGTGACTGTTGAGTTTTAAGGACGGGTCCATTATCACCCCCAGATTAGTCACCTTTTGTTTCTCTAGCGGGGCTAGAGAGAAAAGGTCAATGTCATGGTTCATGAGTGAGCCACTGGGATGGAACAGCATGACTTCAGACTTCTTCTCATTGAAGCTTAAGAAGTTTAAAGCCATCCAGTCCCGGATGTCAGCCAGGCAGTCAAGAAGAGGCTGAATAGAGCGTGTGCCTCTGTGCCTCAGGGGGAAGTAAATTTGGCAATCATCGGCATAGAAATGAAAGGGTATGTCGTGTTTGCGGAAGATAGCACCTAGTGGCAGCAGGTATAAAGAAAAGAGAAGGGGACCGAGGATGGACCCCTGCGGTACCCCCCACTGGAGTGCGGTCGATGCCGAACTAAAATCTTTGATATTGACACAGAAGGTTCTGTCAGAGAGGTAGGACCCAAACCATTTAAGGGCTGACCCTGTGATGCCCACCCACTGCTCCAGTCTAGAAATGAGGATATTGTGGTCGATAGTGTCAAAAGCAGATGTAAGGTCCAATAGGACAAGCAGCACAGTAATATAACATAGATGACAGATCAAAAGTTTAATCCAAGTAAATGTAACATTTTAAAGGAAAAATGTGTTGATTCAAAATTTCACATTGTCAACAAATCCCCAAAAAGTTGGGACAAGTAGCAATAAGTGGCTGGAAAAAGGAAATTGAGCATATAACGAACAGCTGGAAGACCAATTAACACTAATTAGGTCAATTGACAACATGATTGGGTATAAAAAGAGCTTCTCAGAGTGTCAGTGTCTCTCAGAAGCCAAGATGGTAAGAGGATCACCAATTCCACCATTGTTGCACAGAAAGATAGTGCAGCAATACCGGAATTGTGTTACCCAACGTAAAATAGCAACGACTTTTAAGTTATCATCATTAACCGTGCATAACATCAAAAGATTCAGAGAATCTGGAACAATCGCTGTGCGTAAGGGTCAAGGCCGTAAAACTCTACTGGATGCTCTTGATCTCCGGACCCTTAAACGTCACTGCACCTCAAACAGGAATGCCACTGTCAAGGAAATAACAGAATGGGCTCAGGAATACTTCCAGAAAGCATTGTCAGTGAACACAATCCACTGTGCCATCCGCCGTTGCCAGCTGAAACTCTACAGTGCAAAGAGGAAGCCATTTCTAAGCAAGCTCCACAAGCTCAGACGTTTGCACTGGGCCAGGGGTAATTTAAAATGGAGTGTGGCAAAATGGAAGACTGTTCTGTGGTCAGATGAGTCACGATTTGAAGTTCTTTATGGAACACTGGGACGCCATGTCATCCGGACCAGAGAGGACAAGGAGAGCCCAATTTGTTATCAATGCTCCGTTCAGAAGCCTGCATCACTGATGGTATGGGGTTGCATGAACGCTTGTGGCATGAGCAGCTTGCATGTCTGGAAAGGCACCATTAATGCAGAGAACTATGTTCAGGTTCTAGAACAACATATGCTCCCATCTAGACGTCATCTCTTTCAGGGAAGACCCTGCATTTTTCAACACGATAATGCCAGACCACATTCTGCAGCAATCACATCATGGCTATGTAGGAGAAGGATCTGGGTACTGAAATGGCCAGCCTGCAGTCCAGATCTTTCACCTATAGAGAACATTTGGTGCATCATAAAGAGGAAGGTGTGACAAAGAAGGCCCAAGACGATTGAACAGTTAGAGGCCTGTATTAGACATGAATGGGAGAGCATTCCTATTTCTAAACTTGAGAAACTGGTCTCCTCTGTCCCCAGACATCTGTTGAGTGTTGGAAGAAGAAGGGGGGATGCCACACAGTGGTAAAAATGGACTTGTCCCAACTTCTTTGGGATTTGTTGAAGCAATGAAATTTGGAAACAACAGATTTTTCTCTTAAAATGATACATTCTCTCAGTTTAAACTTTTGATCTGTGATTTGTGTTCTATTCTGAATAAAATATTAGATGTTGGCACCTCCACATCATTGCATTCAGTTTTTATTCACAATTTGTTTAGTGTCCAAACTTTTTTGGAATCCAGTTTGTACATACATATATACATATGCATACACATATGTATATATACACGCACACACACACACACACACACAATGTTTGTGTGTCAATAATTAATTTTTTTTTTATAAAATTGCAACAGCCATAAAGAGTATGGTCCTGTTCCATTTCGTATAGGCTTCGCCCTTTAAGGCTGTCGCTAGTGGGTTTATCCCGTCATGCAAAGCATCGCACTGAAAAAATTTGTCCACTCCCGCCTGTTTTGTGGTCTCCACCCGGTCCGTATAAATTACGTTAAAAGCGGGTAATCGGCTCCCATTTTTCTTCAGCAAGCGTATAGCACTGAGCTTCAACAACGATGTCCAGCACCAACGTCATCCGCCTGTGTCTGTCCTGCAAGACCGGCTACATGCTGAGTTTCGACCGGCACGACATCTGCGAAGGATGCCTGGGTCCCCGTCATGCCGACCTCGCCTCCTCCTGCCACCTCTGTGACCTCCTCCCCCCGGAGGAGAGGCAGAAGCGAGCAGCCTTGTTCAAAGCTAACGTCAAGGAGTGCCCCTCCATGGCGGGAGACTGTTCGCTGGACGACGCCATTGATTTTTTTCAACGCCGGCTCTCGGAGCGAATCGGATAGTTCCCCAGGGACAGGCGATGTCAACAGCAGCCCCACTGCTCACCCCCTCCTGGAGAGCGTGGTGTCGGGACGAGGGGGCCGAGCAGATGCTCACCTCCCTGGGCCTTTCCGCATCAGCGACCACACAGCTCCCAGCCATCGGTGCCCTCCTCTCAGAGATGCCTGGCATAATTTTTATGCCTAAAAACATCACGAGCTCTTTTAAACCAAGAGTGATATTGTTGGAGGGGTTTTTCCCCTCACAAATCAGAAGAAACATCTTTCCATCTGCTCTGTCCTGTGCAGGCGTTGACGTGTTACATAGTGCTCACAGCCGCAATGCGTCAAACTCAACATTTGTTTGTGCATTATAGAGATGCATCTGCAGGTCGCCCGTTATCCACCCAGCGTCTGTCACACTGGTTGTGTGAGGCCATTTATGAAGCCTGCAAGCATCAGATTTAGAGCCTCCTGACAACCTCAGGGCGCACTCGACCAGAGGTATCGCATCTTCAGCTGCTTTGCGTAATGGTATGTCAATGCAGGATATTTGCACTGCGGCCGCGTGGTCAACACCCTGTTCATTTATTCGCTTTTATTTACGTGATGTGACGGCTCGGTCCATCACACATTCTGTCCTTAGTACCTTAACAGAATGAATATTGTTGTTTCATGGAATCTCGTTTAAACTCACATCTGACTGCATGCATTTACAGTGTGAGATGTTGTTATCAGTCACAGGTTGTGACTGTTGTTCTTTTTCTATTGTCACTAATCAGTTCATGACTTCTGTCATCAATCAGTTCATTGATTAATATTCAGTTCATTATTAATCTGTTCATATTGAAGAGCCGTGGATCTGCTCCGTTCACGGACTTTTTCAGCCTCTCCTCTTTTCTGTTGAAAACCTTTCTGGGGCATTCATGCACTCGGAACACGTAAATTACACAATGCGCATCTGTGCATGGTGTGCGTAATTACGCAATGCATTTTTACGCACATGGAGAGCTGAATGACAAGATGTTTTTGGGGCAAGCAGGCGCTTCTTATGGTGTTCGAATGGACCCAGTGAGGCGGAGACTACAGCTGCTTCGCTCTTAACCCACCAGCGACAGCCTTAAAAGGGCGAAGCCTATATGAAATAGAACATTGGTTACGTACTGTAACCCCAGATTCTATGAGTATAGGCGTAGCCCTTTAAGCGCCGGGCCTCACTGACTCCTAAATGGTTGAAGAAAAAGCTATTTGGGAGCCGATTACCCGCTCTTAACGTAATTTATACGGACCGGGTGGGGCCCACACAACAGGTGGGCGTGGACTAATTTTGTCAGTGCGATACTTTGCATGACGGGATAAACCCACCAGCGACAGCTCTTAAAGGACTACGCCTATACTCATAGAATCTGGGGTTACAGTACATAACCAACGTTTTATAGCTTATTAAATATGGTCTGCTGTTCCAACTTGTTAGAGATCCCTTTAAAAGTATTTTCTTCATTTTGTAATTTTTTTTAAATTATTTCACCAAAGTTCATGCTCAATAATCCAGGCTAAGATGACCTCTGGGGCCCACCCTCTCCCCCAAAAGTCTCAGGAGTTAATGGGGGAGAGGGCGGGCCCCAGAGGCCAACTTAGCACCAGCAAACTGTTTTTTTTTTAACCATTATGACATCAAAGTTCATGCTCAATAATCCATATAAAGAAATCCAATAATGGTCAGTCTGGTCACCTGACCTGACTGACCATTATTGGATTTCTTTATGACCATTATTGGATTTCTTTACCTGGATTATTTAGCATAAACTTTGATGTCTTGAACCACTTTGGCTTTTTTCTGCCTGCCTGGGAGGAGTCGACAGGGGACCTGACAGCCCCCAGAAACCATCTTAGCACCAGCAAACTGGTTGGTGCACTAAAGAAGTGAACTTCATGGTGGAAAACACAGTTTACTTGGGACTCCTCAGACTGATGAAGCTTTTTGGATAGAGGGCTAATCGTCTTTCAACAAAAAATAAATTATAGAGTATGCTGTTTGTGGGAATCAGTTTGTTTGGTGGCTCCTCAAACTGAAGAAGTCCTTTGGAAGAAGGACAAAACATCTCTGCAAAAAAATAACCCGTCCAGATGATCTGACTGAACATTGTTGATTTTTTATTATTTTGTCTGTTTTGTTTTGTTCCGCTGTAATTCATGCACCTTGACTTGTTCTGCTTTCATCTTGTAAACAACAGAAGCATGATGTGTGTAAAAGAGAATAGAGAAGCAACAAATCCTTCAGTAAGAGTAGAAACTGTTTTGTCTAACCTTGGTGTATGCTGCCACATAGGAGTGTGAGCCATCAAACAGAAAAAGATTCTGCACAGATTGATGTTTGCTCTGCAGCTGGGAGCACATTTCAAAGGCCACGCAGGCTCCAAAAGAGTAGCCCCCGATTCTGTAAGGTCCTTCTTTTTGAACCTGTTCAATGCAGCTCACATAGTAGGCTGCCAGTGACGGGATGCTGTCCAGAGGAGCAGCTGGTGAAGAGGAAAAATAAATCAGATTAGTTGGGCACTCAAACTTTACAAATGCTTTACAACTAAATATTAAGCCCACAATTTACAGAGTACCTCTAATCTTTGAGATATGTTGAAAGTAAAATACAAAACTATTTTAAAAAAGTACACATTTTTTATGGGCTCATACATCACTGGACAAAAAGATGTAGAAGTACCTTTGGTGCACTGTAAGCCATAACAAGGCATCGTGAGCTTAGAGGCGAGCTTCTTAAACACAGCAGTGGAGCCTTCGATGGGATGGACCAGGAACAGTGGTCTCTCCTGGTTTTGAACCTTGTTGAGGGGTATCACCGTGGGGCCATCGGGGTTGACCAATAACTCGGACGCATCAGAGGCCAACACAGAGCGAACAGCATCCTTCTTGGCTGTAGCTTGATGAGATTCTAGAAAGTTGAAATTAGAAAAACTAAATCCATTTTGCTTTGAACTTGCAAGTTTTACAAAGTAACACAAAACTAAAGTAAAACATGTATAAATAAGCATTTATGAATTTTTAGAGGACTTTTAATACCCTCAATAAAATAAGCTAACCTGATGAAATGACCAGTAAGCTTTACTATTGGTTCCCCCTTTGATGTGGTCCCCCCTCGACTACTAAAGGAGGTTTTTCCAACTCTAGGTTCGTCCATTCTTGCCATAGTAAACAGTAGTTTATCCACATGCGTGGTGCCAAAATCCTTTAAACATGCTGCTGTCCAGCCTCTCCTGAAAAAGCCAAACCTTGACCCCTCAGTCGTTTCCAACTTCCGTCATGTCTCCAAACTCCCATTTGTTTCTAAAGTACTGGAGAAAATAGTCGAGTCCCAGTCGAAGTGCTTCCTGGAGGATCACGCCATCTTAGAGCTTTTCCAATCTGTCTTTAAACCTCTCCACAGCACTGAAACTGCTCTGCTGAAGGTTTTTAACGACATCTTCAGATTCACAAATACCGGTGATTCTGTGCTGCTTGTCCTGTTGGACCTCACAGCCGCCTTTGACACCATCGACCATGAGATCCTCATTGCTAGGTTGGAGCAGTGGGTGGACGTCACAGGATCAGCCCTCAATTGGTTCAGATCTTACCTCACTGACAGATCCTTTTGTGTCTCCATCAAGGATTTTAGTTCCGCAGAGGCAGAGCTTAAATGCGGGGTTCCGCAGGGGTCCATACTGGGTCCCCTCCTATTCTCTTTATACCTGCTGCCGCTTGGTGCTATTTTCCGGAAACACAGCATGCCCTTCCACTTCTATGCCGATGACTGTCAAATTTACTTCCCACTAAGACACAATGGTACATGCTCTATTCAACCGCTGCTCAACTGCCTGGCTGACATCAGGGACTGGATGGCTTTAAACTTCTTAAGTTTCAATGAAAAGAAGTCTGAAGTCATGTTGTTCCCTCCCAACGACATGATCACAAACCACTGCATCGACCTTTCCGCTCTAACCCTGTCAGAAAAACAAAGAGTCACTAATCTGGGCGTGATAATTGACCCTTCCCTGAAACTTAATCATGTAAACATGATTGTTAAATCATGTTTCTTCAAACTGAGGCGGCTGTCTAAACTGAAGCCCATATTGTCCAAAAATAACCTGGATACAGTAATACATGCATTCATTACATCTAGGCTTGATTACTGCAATTCACTCCTGTTTGGTATCAGTCAGACCTCCATTGCACGACTACAACTGGTCCAGAATGCAGCAGCCCAATTTTTAACCAGTACAGGCAAAAAAGAGCACATTACACCAGTTTTGGCCTCACTGCACTGGTTACCGGTTCACCTTCGAATCCAGTTCAAAATACTCATGTATGTCTACAAATCACTGAACAGTGTCACCCCCCTATCTCTCTGATTTGCTACAACCGTATGTCCCACGCTCCCCGAGGTCAGTGGACCAGTTGCTCCTCACAGTTCCAGGAACTGGTCTTAAGCGCAGAGGTGACAGGGCCTTCTCTGTAGCAGGACCAAGACTCTGGAACGAGTTACCTCTGCTTGTCAGACAGGCACCCTCCCTCTCGGTTTTCAAGTCCCGTTTAATATCTCACTACTATTCAGTAGCTTTCAACACCAGATGATCTGTGTTTTGATCCTGTATGCTCCACACTGGTTTGTCGTCATTATCTGCATCGTTTTATGTCTATATTCTGATTTACCTCATTTTGTATTTTGCTTTGTGTGTTACCTGTTGTTTTGTCTGTACAGCACTTTGGTTGGCTTTGTTGCTGTTTTAAGTGCTTTATAAATAAAGTGGTATGGTATGGTATAGTACTATCATTACTAGCAGTTGTAAGTTTGATTAAAACAAGTCATCAGTCAATCTTAATACCATTTGATCCTTCTGGCTTGCTCTTGGACAACTCTCGCAGCTTGTTAATTGTAAGATGGCGGATCTCCCTCATGGCCATGACAATGTCATAGTCTCGCTCTAGGGTCTGGCGAACCTCCACACCCATCAAAGAGTCCAGGCCCAAGTCAGCCAATGAGGTGTCAGGGTTTAGACTGCTCACATCCTGTACACCTGTGGGTGAAAAGCACAAGTGAAATGAGATAACAAAAACAAACGAGATTTAAAAATGGCTCTCTGACTTATCCTTCATAGTTTCTGCAAATCAGAATCAGAATCAGTTTATTATTGCCATGTCAATGAACGAGGTTCACAAACTAGGAATTTGCTTCGACATAAGGTGCGAATAGTAATAAAGTAAAATAAAGTAAAAATAAAGTAAAAATTAAGTAAAAATGAGAACATTACATAAGACATAAGACCTGTGTACACCCACAAATAAAGTAAAATTAAAAACATAACATAACCATATCAGTATCATATCTTATCAAACCAAATCAGGTGTCATCAGTATCACTTAAACCTGACCTGAGGTTTTGTAACATGTTTTAAAACTGAGATGGGCACATAACAGGATTGCCCCTCTGACTGAAATATTTGCCATTTCAAAAAATTTAAAGGTCTCTCTCATGGATATTTTCTGATTGTTATTTTTTGGTGGCTCAAAAAGTGGCTTGCAAACCACCAGCTCTCTGCTCCACACAGAGGCTGTGGTAGCTCAGTGGTCTGTGGTTGTATCAGGAAGGACATCCAGTGTAAAAACATCACCAAGTCTGCATGCGAGTAAGCTTCTGTGGCGACCCCTGACGAAGTGAGCAGCCGAAAAAAGAATAAAAAAAGTAAAGGCAACTGATAATTTTATCAAGATTATATTTTTAGCTGCAGCTGGTCAGGTGTTAGGAGAGTTCTGATAAATGTTTATGGATGTTAATCTACTATTGTTAAATTAATGATGAAGCACACGTGTGAGGTGAGACTTCTTGTTCTCTCTCTCAGAGAGGAGCCTGTAGGCACCTGAAGCTTCCGAGTTTAAGAGGTCGAGGTCATCGTGCTGATAAGCATTATAAAAACACTTCCTGTACACTGCCCGTTGCAGATCTTTGCGACCGAGGCTTCAGTGAGACATCTGTGTAAGCCTGTGTAAGCCTGTGTGAATATCTGCCCTTGCAAGAATAAATAAAGATTGGGGGGGGGGCTTATTTCTTACCCAGAATGTGAGCTACAGCTTCCACCAAGTCCTTCTTGTTTCCAGTCTCGTTTTTGACTACAACCCTCTCTGCCAGTACAAAGCTGGACATCACCGGCTGCTGCTGGTTCAAGAAGAAGTCAAGCACCTCCAGGCAGGATGCGATGCGCTGCGGTAAGGTACCGCCAATCACTATGTCGTTACCACCCATTGTCTCCAGCACAACACCCACATCCCCAATGGCACCCCATTGGATGGCTAATCCTGGAAAACCATCGTAGTGGCGTTTTTCACACACGCGCTCCATGACTGAGTTGGCATAGCCATAGTTACTCTGTCCAGCATTTCCACGACCACAGCTGACCGAGGAGAAGACCACAAAGTACTTGAGGTCTGGACATGTTTTTCTTGTCACTCTGAGGAAAGAAAGAAAAAGACTGCATAAAAATACAGAAATGACACAACAGCACTTCTACTTTACAGTTAGTGATATAGAAAAGTGTAAGCGTGTGTGCCTTACTTGTCCAGGTTTATGGTGCCATCACTCTTTGGTTTGTTGACATCAAGGAAAAGGTCAGGAGTCAAATTCTCCAACATGCCATCTTTCAACACCTAACACCACAAACATATTACCCAAGGTTTTCTTTACAATGGAAAGTATGTCAGAACTATGAGAACTACTCTTCAGAAAAACAAGACGCATAAAAAAACACATCAATTACTGCTAAGGAACAGGTTTAAAGATAAACTTGTCCAACCATTTTCTTTACATGCTTAAACTTGTTCCAGCTGACTGGGAGCTGGTGTTTATCTCCAACTGTTATTAGGCGTGAGGCGTGGTACACCAGTCAATCACAGCGTCACACAGAGACAAACCCCAAAATACATTATAATGGAGACCGTACTAGAAACCTTAAGTTAGAGACAGGACCAGAAACCCAGGATCAGCCCCTCCAAATATAAGACCAAGTTCCTCAGTCAATAAAAGGGTAGATTGCTCTCTTCGGGTTGGGAGTGAATTGTTGCCTCAAGTAGAGGAGTAAGAGGGAAGAATGGAGCATGCATGTTGCATGCTCTGTGCCAGTCTGTTATGGTGAAGAAGGAGCTGAGCTGCAAGGGGAAGCTCCTTGTTCACTGGTTGGGCTACGTTCTTACCTTCACCTATGATCACAAACTTTTCTGGTCTCTCTCTTAGATAGAGTGAGAAGTTTGGCTATCTGGGAGAGACTGAGTGGAGCCGCTGCTCCACCACATCAAAAGTAAGCATTTGTGTCCCTTGGATGCCTCCCTAAGAAGGGTGTTTAGGGCATGTCCAACTGGGAGACTCCAGGGAAGACCCGAGACAAGCTGGACATACTATGTTTATTTGTGAGCCTGGGAATGCCATGGAATCCTCCTAGAACAGCTGGAAAAAGGGGCTGTGGAAAGATGTCTGGGCTTCCCTTCTAAAGCTGTTGCCCCCACGACCAGACTACAGAACAAGTGGTGGATGATGGATGGATGGATAGGACCAGAAACCAGAAGCTGAAGCCACAAACAAAACAGCAACAAAAAAATAGACATTTTGACTTCAATTTTGGATAATGGAATTTAATGGACTTTCTTCGTCCATCGTAATTTATGATGATGTGGACAAACAACCGTGCACCCACACACGATCATATCTAGGGCCAATTTCAAGTCAGCAATTAACCTAATGTACATGTTTTTGGACTTTGAGGAGGAAATCGTAGAGCCCCACACAGGAAGGACATTCTAACACAGTACAGTACATAAACAACAAACATCTACAGATGATTCAGAGGAATCTTTACATGGGGAATATGAGAGAAGGTGATAGTTTGAGAAGTTACCATGGCTAGATTAAAGACACCTCCCACTGGGCCCAGTGAACATGCTTCAGCAATTAGCTGCTCTGTTCCCTTCAGTGTGCCAACGTCGTTCGAGGACACCAACACCTGAACGCCTTGATTCTGCCACTCACAAACACGTTTTGCCTGGTATCCTGAAAGAAAAAAATACAACTAATTAAAACTATGCTAAAACTCAAAACAGATTTGAAATGGCCTGTGAAAAGAACCAATATATATATATATATATATATATATCCACTATACTGATATATTTAACAAATATACATATTAATATTAAAAGCCTAATATTAGATGCAGGAACGCACATCCTATGCTGCCTTTAATGCTACAATTTTAAACTAATTTCATTTTAGAATGAGTTAGAGCTATTTTGGTCAAACTATGAAAATAACACCATGCACACTTGTCATGCAATATCTCATGTTATCTGACTTGATGTGTTAGTGCTCAGAGTATGTGTTGTGAATGACTCTCAGCTACTACCACATCCAATTTTAGCATAATATATGTAAAATTGACTGATTTATAAACATTTTTTTTGTGTTTACCAAGATTGCTTTGCTGTGGCAGCCATATTTTATTGGGTTGACAACAAAAATTAACCAGTTGTGTAAAAACAGGTATACAAAAAAAATTTACTTAAATGTATAAAAAATACATTTTTTTACTTAATGTCGATACAAATGAAACAAAAACATTAAATTGAATACATATATCATGTATCCAAGTACCAGGAGTTCTTTAAGATTTACATTTTCCTGCATTTTTCAATAAACAAAACATTATTCTGAACTAGAAAGTTCCTGGGGAAATTGTGATGGGACTGCCATGTGGCAGCCATTTTGAAATTTTGATTTGACAGTACTATGTGTTGGGGCTCACTCTCAGCTACCACCACACCAAATTTAAACTCAATTTATTTTACCTTTATCATCTTTTGTAACCAACATCTTTAGCCTGTCTCTGAGCCAGTGTATTGTGCCCATCATCTTCAAGACCTCCACTGTTGTCCCCATCCCAAAGACCTCAGCAGCATCCTGCCTTAATGACTTTCAGCCCATAGCACTCACTTCTGTCATCATGAAGTGCTTCGAGCAAATTATCAGAACTCACATCTGTGCCTCCCTCCCTGACACCCTGGACCTCCTACAGTTCACATACGGAGCAAACAGGTCTACAGATGATGCCATTGCTTTAGCAGTTCACACCTCTCTCAACCATCTGGAGAAGGTAAACACCTATGTGAGAATGCTCTTCATTGAGTACAGCTCAGCATTCACCACCATAATCCCCTCCAAACTGGTCCCCAATCTCACCACACTGGGCCTGGAGAAGTCCATCTGTCACTGGGTACTGGACTTCCTCACCAATGGACCACAGGCAGTGAGAATCGGCAGTCATTTCTCCTCCCCACTAGTCCTCAGCACCGGTACACCTCAGGGCTGTGTCCTCAGTCCACTCCTGTACTTACTATTTACACATGACTGTACAGCTAAGCACAGCTCTAACATCATCCTCAAGTATGCTGATGATACCACCATCTTGGGCCTCATCACCAACAATGATGAGAGTGTCTACAGAGATGAGGTGAAATCACTGACCAGCTGGTGTCAGGAAAATAACCTTTCTCTAAATGTCAGCAAAACGAAGGAGATGATAGTGGACTTCAGGAAACAGCGTGGAGGTCAGCACTCCACCATCTACATAAACACCGCTGAGGTGGAGCAGGTCAGCAGCTTCAAGTTCCTCGGCGTTCACATCACCGAGGATCTGTCCTGGACTTTACATACAGACACTGGTCAAGAAAGCCCGACAAAGATTCTACTTCCTAAGAAGACTAAAGAAGTTTGGTATGAACACCAGAATATTCACCAACTTTTACAGGTGCACCATGGAGAGCCTGCTGACAGGCTGCATCACAGGGTGGTACATGAACTGCAACAGTCAGGAGCCAGAAAGCTCTACAGAGGGTGGTGCAAACAGCAGAGGACATCACTGGTAGCAGTCTCCATACCATCCAGGACATCTACCACAGCCGATGTCTGCATAAAGCACGCAGCATCATTAAAGACCACACTCACCCAGCACAAGGACTCCGGTCTACTAAGCTCAGGCAGTCGATACAGGAGTCTGTCATGGCTTCAAAAAACGTTACAAAAACATACAAAACAGTCATGGCACACCAAAAGACTAAAAGGACAGTTATTATCCACAAGCTGTCGGATAACTGAACTCTCAATAAATAACACTGAACAAATGACAATAACGTTACACCAAGCCACATCTGTGACAACTGATATGTTTATTGTTTATTGCTACTGCACTATGTGGCTGTATCTAGGCTGATACTAGGCTGTATCATGAATGATACAGTATCTATGCATCTTCCGGAACCTTACCATCATAATTCAATCTCAATGTCATTACATGTGCAATAACCTGTAAGATAACCTGTGTAATATATGTTAATCGTGCAATATATATATATGCGTATCATGTGCATTTTAGCTTATATTACCATGTTGAAATACTTATTCATTCAGATTCATCCTGCTGCACGGTTATATTCTACCATGATATCGTTTACTCTTTAGGACGTTTTAAATATTATAATCACTTTTTCACTTTTTGGTACTTTATATTTGTACCCTTATTGCATGCGTTTAGTATTTCTTGTTTGTTTGTTCTTTGATTATTTTTTAGCAAGTCAAATTGGTTCTTTTCATCCTGAGCATTTCATTGTACCATTCACATTGTGTTAACCTTGTGTTAACCTTCTGTTAACCTTGAGTTAACCCAGTGTTAACCCTGTGTTATTCCTGCGTTAACCCTGTGTTATTCCTGCGTTAACCTTGTATTAACCCTGTGTTAATCCCGTGTTAACCTTGTGTTAACCTTGTGTTAACCTTGTATTAAACCTGTTAAACCTGTGTTAACCTTGTGTTAACCTTGTGTTAACCCTGCGTTAACCCTGTGTTAACATTGTGTTAACCCTGTGTTAAACCGGTTTTAACCTGTGTTAATCCTGTGTTAACCTTGTATTAAACCTGTTAATCCTGTGTTAACCTTGTGTTAACCTTGTGTTAACCCAGTGTTAACCTTGTGTTAACCCTGTGTTATTCCTGCGTTAACCTTGTATTAACCCTGTGTTAATCCTGTGTTAACCTTGTGTTAACCTTGTATTAAACCAGTTAAACCTGTGTTAACCCAGTGTTAACCTTGTGTTCACCTTGAATTAACCTTGTGTTAACCCTGCGTTAACCCTGTGTTAACATTGTGTTAACCCTGTGTTAAACCGGTTTTAACCTGTGTTAATCCTGTGTTAACTTTGCATTAAATCCGTGTTAAACCTGTTAAACCTGTGTTAACCCAGTGTTAA